CACGTTCAGTTGGGTGTTGTTTAACGCTGTGGTTTCGGCCGCACGCAACGCATACGTTAGAGCCCAGTGAACGTATCGACCGACGGGTAGATGTCGCAGGCTCCAGAGGACAGGCATACGTGGCTCGTCGTGGTTGATGCTGTCAGGTCGATGCTGCTGGTACAATATGTCGATCCTCATTGTTGTTCTCACCCACCGAGGGTGAGGCCTGGGGACAGGTTCGATAGATCTTAAGAGATAGCGGCTGGGGACACAAGTATGGTCGACGTTGATGTCACTCGTCGTCATCGCCCCTGTGCGCTATCGTTCTTATCCCTCGGGATCATCACCAAATCAGTTGGATGAAGTCGAGAGTTACTAAAGGAGTTTTTTGGTGGATCGATCCACCTAGCGTTTTACCGCAATATTCGAGGACCGCCTTTCCGCCGTGTGTACCAAATGCTACGCATATGGCACGCTCTTTGTGTGTGTCATAGGCGTGGCACGCGCGGAAGGCGCGCAGCCAATATCCCGTTTACCCTCACCCTAGAAAACACAGCACAAGCACGAGTTGTTGGTTTGATCATCCCCCATTTCTCGATAGCACACACACACCCATCTCTCTTTACCTCTCTCTCCCTCGCTCTCTCTGTGCTCCGCGCACACACGGGTTTCCCCCGACCCGAACCGGCATCGAATCCACAGATGTCCACTCGAGGCTCCTACGTTGCATGAATCGTGTTTACCTGAGAGGGTGCGAGAAAGCCTACCTTGGGCAAATGGTAGACTTGGAAGGCTTTTGCCCCAAGCAGGAACCCGGCAAGCGAAAGGGAGCGGGATCTCTCGTGGTTCATATCCGGTCGGGGGACATTTTTAACCCCGACGAAGAGGGTCGGCGCCGGGCGGGATTCGGCCAGGTACCTGTGCAGATGCTGCTGCTGCTGCTATTGTTGTTGTTGTTGTTGTTGTTGTTTGTTGCTGTTTTTGCTTGTCAATCCGGTGGTTCGCGCCTGTTGTGGTTCCAATACATCCCAGGATTCCATTTTCAGGGCCGTCCCTTCGCCCCATGTAAGGACCGGAGGCATGCACATTGCGTGGGTTAACTCGAGTTTGTCTTTATACAGAACCTTCCGTGACTTGGCTTACACAGGTTCCTACTACGCCCAGTATCCGGCAGGTCCATTTCCCCACTCGCTGCAGAGGCTTCAACAAGTCCCTTCGACCCGAACGCAATGGAGGCCCCGCACGGTCTGAAACACACTTTTCTGGGACCCCCAGAAACGCGACATTCATGTCGACACCCATGTCTTCCCAACTGCCCCCGTCGTTTCCAGCCACCTCTTCAGTACTACTTGCACGTTATGGGAGAAAAGGATTGGGATAACGTGACGTTCTTGACCGCCGCATGGAACCAGAAGGCCGTAAACCCGACGTTTTCGATACTTGAGATAATGGCCAAGGCGGGAACTTTGGGGGATAGCGTCCGATTTTTCATGGTGAGGCGCGACCAAAGCACATGGAAACCACCCACACAATAATACACACATCTGTTGCATACCTCTCAGCTTCCGAGTGCTGTTGACGTTCTCCCCGTAGTACCAAAGGTTGGAGGTGGGAGACCCCTGGGAGAGAAGCGCCTTGTGCGCGTCTCCGTTCCTCGTCTTGAAGCAGGCGCGTGTGTTCAGAGGCAAATCGTATGTGCACAGAGTACCGAATTTTGCAGCAGTAGATGGGACACGCGAAAGGCAATGCACCACGCGGCATCTAAGCTTGGTACCTGGGGGACGTTGCCGTTGATGGCCTCCCTGGTTTAATCGTGCTTGATCTTTGGGGCAAACGCTGCTCCTCATCTTGCTGCTTCCCGTGTGTTCTCGAGGACGGGTCGAGGCTAACTCTGCAGTGCTGCAGCTCACTCTTTCGTAGCCAACTTCTTCCAGACCGCGTGCCGCGCTCTTCCCAATCACCACTTCCCACCAGCAACGGATTGACACGGAACAATGCGCTGCTCTCCTCGACGCTTCTGACCAATCGCGCCCCCGAGTGAAGGACGCGAGGAAATACCGTTGTTTCTGCTGAACCCTTTGTCACAATACAATTGATTGCATGCACTCGTCGACCACTGCTGTGTCGTTGTTCGCTTTTATTCGAGTTCGGTCGGGCTTACTCGAAGCACCTTAACCTCGGCTTTCTAGATTTACCGGTATCTGTTGTACTCCTCTTGTCGACATTTATCATCGCAGAAATCATTCTTCTTTCACAGGTACCAACAAGACTTGCTGCCCCCGCCCCCTCATATCTGCTGGAGCAAACGCCTCCATTATGCTATGATCCCCTCTTCCGTTTGAGGAACCCATTTGCACCAACGCGTTGGCTGCCTCAAGCTATCCCGAGCATCGTTCTCTCTGCCTTCAAGAGCGGCCACGTGTCTCTCCGAGTACTAGGTACACCTGCTGATGGATCTACCCTCCCTACCGTGCTCCCATCAGAACCGATCCCTCCTCGAAGACGTGCGGGAGATGCTCTGCGCGGACGCCTTGGCCACCTCGAGGTCGAGCATGAGCTTCCTCACCTTCGCGCACTCCAGGGCTACCACCTTCTTCGTGCCGACCCCGTGTGGCAACGGGGGGTTCCGCAGGATGATTGCGCGGACGCCTTGGCCACCTCGAGGTCGAGCATGAGCTTCCTCACCTTCGCGCACTCTAGGGCTACCACCTTCTTCGTGCCGACCCCGTGTGGCAACGGGGGGTTCCGCAGGATGAGAAGGCCGCCGGTTAAGGCAACCTTCGACAACACCACCTTGCTTCTCCTAGAGAAACCGGGCGCGGAGGTGAGATCAAAGGCACCGCAAAGAACATGTAATGTTTTTTGTGTTTCGTTCCTTTTTAGAAACTGCAGGCAGGCTACAAACACAGCGTGACCGTTTTTGTTCGGCCCGTTTTTCAGGCGGTTGCTGGGTGGCGCCTTCATGCGGCAGTCTGTGTTTCGTTGAAAAAAAAGTGAAAATGAGCTGGTCTGGAAAGACTAGGGACCCGTGTGGCAAAGCCAAGGGGTTGCTGAAAGTGGAGACGAGGCGAACCTAGCGTCCACCTTGCTTGGTGGACTTTTTCACTCGGGCTTTGAACGTGCTTGTTTGTGTTGTTGGTTCCACGTGCGGTGTTATCGTATAAGTATATATCGTACAGTATGTCCATCCTCTTTTTTCAGGTATACGGGACTGCATGGCCAGGGAATTCGCCCAAGTACTCCGTATACCAAGCGTGGCATGACACCCCGGAACAGCTGCTCGAGATGGCCACTTTCGGCGGGATCGAGGGCGTGCAGAAATGTAGCGTTCACCCCCCGTGGCACGAATAGTCGCGACACCCGCCTGAGGGGGAGCTACTACCGTAGATTTTCTGTACATAAGAAAATGAAGAGGTAATGAGTCCGGGGTCCACAGGAAGGGCGGATGGGGCTTCGGATAATCGAAGTACGTCGCTTTATGTGCTCTACACCCTTGCCGCGTTCGCGACATTGGCCTTTCTTTTCAGTACTTGGTTTCGTCGGTAGATTGCTTGGAGTACGATTTAAATGTAGCCTTTTCGATAGTAATAGTTTGGACCATATTAATTGTCATGTTTATTCATTCGTTTCCGTGGTGTAGGCGTGCTGCGTCGTTCCGTTGGCGGCGTTTGTGGTCGGTCGTGGTCGAGTTATGCAAGTACACAGGTGCATACATCTGCGTCGGAAGCCTACCGTACAAGGAAGAAAACGTTCGTTCCTTTTATTGTGTGATAGCTGTTGGTGTTTGGATGAAATTGAATCTCGATGTTTGTGTGGCCCACTGACGGCTAAGTAGAAATTAAGGGCTCTGTGTTCCAAACCACCTCTCTCTGTGAAAAGCGAACGGTGCGGTTTGATCGTTGATCGCGTTCGTACTGTAGTGAAGCAGCATAAGAGGCATGGTGTTCGTATGATGTACAATATACACAGAAGCACTCTACAACTCAGTTTTCGGGGCGCAGGTTGGAGTTTGGTTTATTTGCAAATTCCAACTTTGAATTCTGATTTTTGAGTCAGGCATAACGGTGGAAAGAAGGGCAACCTTCATTCAGCGTGCGTTAAGTGTAGCAGCACGGTGACGGGCAGCCAGCTTGTGTATGTAGAGAGGCGGTACTCCCTTGAGATCCGCGCCACCATTTGTTGTGTTGTGCGAAATAACGAGATCGATAGCTACTACGCAGTTGCGAGGCCCGTATCCCCTCTCTTGCGCCGTCCTTCCCCACCCCCCACCACCACCACAAACAACAATGATAGCGGAAGTAGAGTGGGGTGATGCAGAGTAGGTACAATGGCAGCGTGTGGCGGGCGATTGTGCCCATTACACGCGCTACAAGTACATAGTCTACTGCTGTACACCGAAGCGAACAGCACGCTTTTGACTCTTTTTCAAGACTCTTCGTAAATGGGCGTGCCTGCGGGAGAGGATAGCGAAGCAGACGAACTCAACACTTGAAGACTACATGTAGACCGCGTAGTGGAGTGGCAGCAGCAGCGGGTGTGTTGCTACCATGTCCCACAAGCCCCTCTTCCCTCTGTGCTGTGTGTTTTGCCGAAGGCATGGCGAGTGCCCGCGTGTTGTCGCCTACCTCTTTTCAAACTTTTTGTGAGTAATGCCGACGAGATGCTCTTTATTTCCTGTATACTAGAAAAGGCGCGACATGCGGGTGGCTCCACCACGAGAAAATTGGATCTCTGCACAGCGAAGAGTCAGCAACGGAAACCTAGGCGTGTACCCTGCTTGCTCGTATGCCTACTGACAAAGAGGAGGCAGCCGGGTTTGGGCAGCCATTTCTTCGCTTGGCCAGGCGAATGTTGGATCGTGCTTTGTGGGTGTTCGACCAAGCGTCGGCAGTCGGCAGATAAAGGAGATTGGCGAATAGAGAAACTTGATTCGCCAGTTATCCGAACTCGACAGTCTCGGCATGCTGTGCAATGTACAAGTGAGAAGTTGGACCAGATGCCACACACAACGCGCGCACACCAGGCCCGCGCACTCGGCATGGATGAGTTCCCCCGTCAGACATAGTACCCGTGGCGATGGTGTCGGCAGGGGCAACCGCAGCCTTTCGCCCACCAGTCGCGAGATGGTGTCCAGCTTCGGCAAGATGCGGAATAGGTTGGCCGGCAGCCCGGGAGATGGCGCTCAAGACGGCCGGCTGCAGCTGCTGTGGCAGCAGCTGGGCAAGGCGGCGTTGTTCTGCCTATCAGGCGGGATACGCCTGACGAGACGGCCATCACATGGTGCGAAGTATTGTGTGGCGCGCGCTGCTAACAGGGACCATTTTTTCCCTCCCGTAGAAATGTGATACGTGAAAGGAAAACGACACTGCAGCTGGCACTTTCGAAAACATAATAAAGAAAACAGCAGAGAGCATCGCGAGGATGTTTACCCGCCCATAGCAGGGGATGTGTACCGGTGGATACAGCAGCGGCTGCTGATACTGCTGCTGTGTTGAACGGGAAATACCCCGTGAAAAATGAAGACTTGTACTTCAAGTACTTCTGGTAAATAGGTACTGCTGAAGACGCGTGTCAGCTGTGGAGCTGTGTGCACAGGCAGTTTTGCGCTCCAGTGGGTGGCACGAGGCGCAAATGGTCAGTTTTGTCCTCCAGCGTACTTCGTACCTCCCAGAGCTTTGAAATCTCACCTGCTTTCCATGCCGAATTACTTGGCGCGTGACCTATGAGAATGCAACTCACGATGCCGATTAGACTATCCCTATGCACATGTAACTCTTTGCTTCTCGCTCAACAAGTGGTGATGTGGCAGCAGTACATCAAGCAATCGAAATGACTGGGTAGATGTGAAAATGACTCCGACAAATGTAAAAAGGGTGTTTGCCCGACACGAAATAAGGTACCCCAAGCCTTATATACTGACATGTGGTGCCCACATACCCCCCCGGATACGAGCGAGCGGACAGCTCAGCATCGTAGACAAATACGCGGGTACCACGACGCCCCCCCGGTAGCATGTACGGTAACCGGAACCCGACCGGCTGGCGGCGGACAAAAAAAACATTTTCACGTGCCCGGATTCGAACCCGGGACTTTGACATTGCCTACACGAGATAAGGTGCCCCAAGCCTTATATACTGACATGTGGTGCCCACATACCCCCCCGGATACGAGCGAGCGGACAGCTCAGCATCGTAGACAAATACGCGGGTACCACGACGCACCCCCGGTAGCATGTACGGTAACCGGAACCCGACCGGCTGGCGGCGGACAAAAATCCACCCATTTCCACGTGCCCGGATTCGAACCCGGGTCTTTGACATTACAGGGATGACATACTGCCGCTGACGCCATTTGTAAAAAAGGTGTGTGCCCGACACGAAATAAGGTACCCCAAGCCTTATATACTGACATGTGGTGCCCACACAAAACTGCTTGATTAATGCGTGTAGATACGCGTTAATCATACCTTTGTTTGGCTAAGTCAAGGTTGTTCTGCGACCTGCAAACGTCGACCTGATAGCATAGACATCCACCTGCTGCCTCGCCTTTTTCGAACAATCCGCGCCCGTGTGTCGCTGCTGCTGCTGCTCGCTCATCCTTTTCACCCCAGGGTCCACCCGGTTTTGGTTGCTGGTATTGCTTGCCGCGTCCGTGGGGTTCATGGTAGTCCAACAATTTTCGGTGTGTGACCGTTGGTTGTTGGGCACCACATCCTTTCATGTTTCCAGCGGAACTTTGTCAGTGTCTTGATGGCGATTGCGCGAAGGCGAAGGAATTTAGAGTGCCGGCGGTACACTGACTGCTACAGTAGTACCGCAGTTCTGTAATCAAGTACAGCCCCGTCCTGAAGCCTTAACGCAATGTCGCATAGACTAGCGGCAGACAGCGAGCGGGGGTTGTGTTGGTGAGCTTATTATTGTGCGATGCTCGTTGTATTGTACAGCGAAAGCTCAGACGAGAACTTGTCGAACTTATCAAACTTGTCAAACTTGTCACAGCCTCGCGTGTTCCGTGGGCAACGGCCTCAGCAACCGCTTGACAGGCCACCCGGTCTTCGGAGAATAAACGCGCTACGTACTTGCTTGCCTTGTCTGGTTCACCGATTTCGCGTCCCACACCCCCCTTCTTATTCTCGGTCCTCCCCGTGCCCCTCCTCTGACTTCCTGCCTTCCTTCCTTTCCTATTCGCTTTCGCCCAAGCATGGATGCGGAGCATCGAAGGACGGTGCCAACACATTCGTCTCGACATCACTAGGGGAAGGAGAGCCTGCTGAGAAGGTTATAACAGGTAACGCCAACACGAGCACGCCCCGTTCTGTTATTGCGGCCCTGAGGACTTATCAGCACACACTTGTCTTTGGTCCCTCTCACTGTTGATCGCTTCCGTTGTTCTATCTTGTTTCTATGTTGATCGCAACAACCCTCGTGCACATCAAAGTATTTGTTTCCCCATCTCGTTTTCGTTTTCCTTCCTTCCTTCCTTATGTGGGTCGTGTTGATGGCCGGGGGGCACTCTGGTCTGAAACGAGGTTTATTAATAGTATTGTACAAGTAGGGAGAGATGACAAGACGAAAGAGAACAAATACCATTTCTACATTTTGTTTGGTGCTCGTCGCTGGACTGCCACCTCAGAATGCTGCTACCGGCTGCAGTTTTTTTTTCGCGCGCTCTCCGGTTTTGTTTGTTTCTTTCTTTTTGCCAGCTCTAGAGGTCACGGAGGACCTCGTTAGGCAGAAAAAAGCAGGAGAGAATCATTTCGTGTCGGAGGGGGTCTTTTTTCACCTCGAGGAGTGCCCCTACGAGATTTCTCGCCTGCAGGCTGAAGCATCCTTAGCGGGAGGCGTGGGGCGAGGCAACACGGTCGAGCTGCTCGATCACGGACGAGGCGAGACGATAACCCTTGCCCTAACCCTAACCCGTTGTTGACAATGTTGACAACGCTTGCAAGGCTGACAATGCTGCGATGATTCGATGCGGACAGTGCTGACAGTGCTGGACTTGTTGACAAGGCGAATGATGCGCTGCCATCACGAAGCAGATAATTCGTAAGGGGGATTTAGTCCAGGCTCGTGGCGAAACAGGCTGACTGAAAGTCTGCATTGTATGTAGTCTTAGTCTGAGAAATTGTCAGGGTGACCCAAAGGAAGCCTAAGCGTGGTCACGCATGCCCGTCGACAAGTTGGACCGCATGCATAGGCAGAATCGTTGATGGTGACGGTGATAGGCGCTTGCTGTTGCATGGGGTTCGGGGCAATGCCAAGGACTATGTACACGTAGACCATCTGAAAATCTGAAAGGGTCGGTCATTAGGCCCGATTGTTTCGTGGCGTTGTTCTCCATCCCTTCCGAAGGCAACGCGTTGCCCATGAAGCCAGCTATGTCACTCGCCCAGGTTGTTCACGGGGGAAAAGCGGGTACAACAGCCTCTGCAAGAGGTTTGGAGTAGACATCGTTAACGCTTGTAGGAGTCGCGCCATCGTGAGGGCCAGGTACCTCCCTTGGTACAGGCCGAAGTAGTCGCTAGGTTGTTGCATACACCTGCTTGAGATTTTCTTTGACATGTTCTTTCGTTACACTCATGCACCCAGACCGAGTAAAGGCATATGCCGATATGGCCCTACGAGTGGCGTTAGGGTTTGAAACCCTAACTAACCCTAGCCCAAACCCTGTTGTGCGAGGGCTGACTGGATTCTGACCATTCGACATGCATGGCATAGCGGCAAGTCGCGTGTTAGGCTATTTGCTGTTATTTGGTTCTCCTCCTAACGTGTTTGTGTGCGATTGCTCCCAACAGGTCGATGCGGGAACCATTTCATGACGGTTTCGAGCTACCTCGCGATGGGCTTCTGCTGCCGGTCTCGATTGGTGAGCTGGATGGCGAGATCACTCTCTTGCCGTCGGCCCAGCCATGATTTTTCACAAGCACGGAGCGTCAAGTCGTAACTGTGAATCATGAGCGCCCCATGTTCAAACTGGAGATGTCTTGTTGGGCTGAGGAAGAAAGTCGGAACCTACCCTCCCTCTCTATGACGCGTTCGCACCACGGCGAACTCAGCATCTGTTTGTTTTCTCCAGACCAACCAAATGGTGAAACACTCCCCCATGCTTGACGAAGCTGACTTGCTGATCGACGCTTTGCCAAAGCTCCTCTACCATTCTCCCCAACCCCCGTACCTACACACGTTAACCCAACCCTAAGTCTACCCCCTATCTACGTGTGTGCGGTTACCTTCCCTCCAGCTAACGCTACCGGCGACGGACGACAAGCTTCCTGACGAGCTAGACAATTTTACGTCGGAGCGGCGGTGGTTCGACTTCTCCAACGTCAATGTTCCTTGGCCCGAGTATCAGGAGATGGGCGACGATGAAGAGGTGTGCCGGCCGGAGACGAGGGACGGGGGGAGAAAAGCCTTCGGGTACGAAGGTGAGAGGAGTGAACCACACAGCAGAAAGAGCAGGCGCAGATGCCGGGTTCTGGCTTTCGATTTTGTTTTGTATCATCACCGCGTGGTGTGTTATTGCGGCGATTGGGGTGTTATCGACGAAGAAGAGGCCGGGTATCAGGGGTAGCCTACCGTTTTGTTCCCGTACCGAGTCAGAACAGAGTACGGTCGTTGCAGTTAGAGCAGAGTGCTGCTGTTGCAGTAGAGATGCTTTTTTGTTGGCTTTCAGCGAGCCTAATCCAAACCCTAACCCTGCATCGGCGAAACCAAAGCTTGCAGATCCCAGCGGCCTGTCTCGATCCATGAAAGCAGCCGAAATCAAACCGAAGGACTATCGACGACTAACTTTTTTGGAATTCGAAATCATCACCATTAGACTGCCCACGTAACTTTTATGGAAGTCGAAATCAAAACCAGCTGGAACGTCTAGTCTAAGGGTGTGATCTTGTTAGTCTCCCTCTTATTCTCCGACGTTTTTTAGTTTCTCACCTCTCACCTAACAGCCTTTCTCTCTACCCCGAATTGACTTTGCACTACTTCACAGATGTCCACCCGAAGCTTTTAGAGTGCATGAACAGGGTCTACCTGCGAGGGTGCGAGAAAGCCTACCTTGGAAAGCTGGTGGACGTGGACAGCTTTTGCCCCAAGCAAGAACCGGGCAAGCGAAAAGGGGCTGGATCGCTCGTGGCCCACATCCGTTCGGGGGATATTTTCAACCCAGATGGAGAGGGTCATCGTCGGCAGGGTTTCGGCCAGGTATCTACCTGAATAGACGCTGCTGCTGCTGTGGTTGTGATCGTCGTTGTAGCTGGTGTTTTGTTGTTGTTGTTGACGTCGCCGTTGCTGCTTGTCTGTAACGTTTGATATTTGATTTTTGATGGTAACATTCGTTTTTTTGTCAGACCGCGCATTTCAGCTCGATTTTCCAGCTCCTCGATTCCCAAGGCCATCGATACACATGCCGCCCAGCTACTTCGAAGGGTTTATCACACAATCTGACGTGGAGAAACGCTTGTATCAGAACCCGCGCTGCTCTCCCACCCCGCCGCCCGCGTCCTACATAACCAGCCGCCTCTCCAGTACTACTTGCGTGTGCTGGCGGCGAAGGACTGGGATGACGTCACGTTCCTGACGGCCGCGTGGGAAGACAAGGCCTTAAACCCGACGTTTTTGACGCTGGAAGTGATGGCGGACGCAGGCGTCCTGGGGGAGAACGTCCATCTCTTCAATGTGCGGCTGCAAAGGCAACACCGCG